CAACTATAAAAAACACTTTGTAGACATTTAAGTTTAGGTCTTCCATGAGAAATTTCTTTAACTTCAATGGAAGAATATAACATTTAATGCTTTCCATATAAAAAGCACAAGTAGTGCATGACAAGCCAGGTACTTTCCTCTGCATTTCAGGAACCAAAGGTCACTCTGTTGGCTGCATCTGATAAACTCTAAAGCAATCCAGGAGTCTTGCTCCTTCTAGGAGTCCGGAAGCACCAGACAAACTGATTTGCTCCTTCCTGTTTCAGAAAATTAAAAATCTCACTTATACTCAGAGGAGTCTAAAAGCTCCAACAAAAAGGTCTTGCAACGTACTTAACCAAAGCCAGAAGCTTGTCAAAATCGAGTGCTAGTAGGACAAGACAGAAGGAATTAAAACCTTCCCTTGATTCTTGCTGAAGAAGCAACAAGCATGTGCTTGAAGTTGTCAATGGGTGTTTGTGTGACTTTGGTGATGAATCTGCACCTTTCCTTCAGCAAAATGTTGGGGTTTGCTGTAGCGCAGAACAGGCTCGTGACAAGCAGGTATCTGCCACGGAGTTTAACACAAAAGGATGTTGCTCACGGTGCAGGGACTAGAAATGCCGATCAACGTAATCTCCTCCACCCGTGGCCCAGAAACGACTGTATCCAAAGGAACGTTAAACTCTGCTGTGCTACACCTTTACAGCGTGCAGAGCACAACTTTACTTTAAAACTTCTCAATATCGTATTAAGACAGTGGATTTCCCTGGAGACAAACCCTCAAATTTAATAAAACGCTTGAGACTCACTTGATTTATAGCATCTGTCTCGCAATACATTTGAAAAACTATAATTTCTCAATGGTCCAATTGTGGCTCATCCTGAAGAAATGCAGACTGACCAGTCCATCTCAATCCTTATCTGTTTTTTATCATCTTTCCTTTTTGATAAAGGTGTTGTCAGATATAAAGGCTTTTGTCAAATAATCCCATGGTTCTTTCGCTAAATGTAGCCACCTACCAGCCCAACTGACCTGGAAATAAAAGTATTTATTCTCTTGTTGGGTTTCACACATTAAAGCCCACTGGACTCTATGAATCGCAGTTACATGTAGATCATTTTCACAGGTACAGTTTGCATGTTGTTATAATTTTCTCAAAATATGAAGGGACAGCCACTAAGCCATATACAGTCACATTCCGTATTTCACAACTTCCAGAATACCTAAACAGAATTTTACAAATTAAGTGATACCTGTGAAACAGAAAGGACTATATTCATTATGTCCATATTTTGCTGAAAAAAAAAAAAAATGCGGAGAAGCAAAGAACAAGAGGAAATATGAACATTACAATTTCCTTATCTAAATTTACTACAGACTAGGGATTTGCCAAGTCAAAAGAAATGATTCAGTGGAAATGTGCATCACATATCACTACTGCAAACCTTTCTTAACCATCCTTACCAAATTACTTGTAGCCATAATTAATCATCTAAAAACCATCAAATTGAACTAACATCTACACCTGCCTTTTATTTTAAATGTCTCTTTTTAAAAGAGTGGAGAGGTATGGAAAGCTGGTTTAACAAGCACACTGAACCCATTGTTTATGGCCTCTATAAACATGGCTTAGTAAGAATTACTGACTTAATCAGAGAGAACTTATCTCCTGGTGAAAAGAGCACTTTAAATTTCAGAAATGGCACCTTTACTGTGAAAATCTCTTAACTTTTCAAACAAACTCCAGGGGGCCTTAAACACCAGGTCAGTAAATAAGCAGCAGTTAGTGCGTCTGTCCGGCTCACAAGCAGCCAAACACTTGAAGTAATTTAAATGTTTTATGTGAAAGTTTGCAAAAACAACGAGAAACTATATTCTAATCGAAGTAATACGGGGCGCTCTGCCGTCTCACTCCGATCACACGCTAGAAGCAATATCGTCAATAATACTAACACCGGTTTATACTAAATGTTATTTTATTATCACTGTCTACAGTTGACAGTTTTTTGCATTTCCTACCATAAAAATACCCTGAGTTAAACTTCTTTCAGATGAACAATTTTATAGTTCATTTAAAAAAAAAAAAAAAAATCAAAAATCAAAAAACACCCCCCCACCCCCTCAAAAACCAGAGGTTTGCATAACTTCATGGCTAAATGGGTGCCAAAACATAAACCCAGTGGATCATGAGGTTTCATAACCAGATACAAATGTGATCAACATATTAAAAAATGCTGTAACAGAAAAAAGAAAGTGCAGCTCCCACCAGTCCTTTTGGAAAGATAAAGCTCTTTAAAATTAACATTCTTCGTGGCTAGTTGGTACGTTATATTTGAAATTATTATGAAAGTACGATTCACAACAAGTCTAAAATCCGTTTGCTTAATGACTTGTCTCTACTTAGTTAATAGTTTCCATTTATTTTCTTAAGAAAAAAACACCACAACACTGCAGACAACAATGTGTCAATCTGGCTGCCAGAAGCAGGAAAGGCAACGGATATAAAATTTTATTATTTCATGCCCCAACAGCAGCCAGAAGGACTTAATGAAATCACCCTTAGATTTACAATCTGAAATAGCTATTCAGCAGACAAATCTGGTTAGGCTGGATGTGCCCCCTGACCTCTCGGCCCTTTGATCTGGGCGCAGCAGGTGGGCTGTGGCCCCCTCCCGTGCATCTCCCACTCTTCCGCCCAGCTCCCAGCCTGCCCCCAGTCCCCGATCCTGCCCCCCCAGCCATGTGCAGGGTCCTCATCACAAGCAGCTGCTGCCAACCCGGTGACAGACGCCCCTAGTGCTGCTCTAACACTCCTGTGTGGCAGCAGGAAAAGCTTTCTCCACTTACTGCAGCGTGTGTCTGTCTTAAAACTTACCCTTCAAACTTCCCCCCCCCCAATATCTTGTTAAAACACAGTTATTAGTTTCATTTTTCCAATAATTGGTTAAAAGACAATTCTGTAAGCAATTTGTCATATTTTTTAAATGCATTTTTTAGCAATACTCCTGAAACCATGTACAGCCATATTTATAACACTTGGGACTAAATTACATTTAATTTTTTAAGACCTGGATTTAAGAGTGTGTGTGTGTATATATACATATAAAAAATTTTTTTTTACATATATATATATATATATAACCTCTCCATCTAAACCCTGAAAAAAAAAGCTACACTTCAGTTACAGCTAGAAAAGGCAGGGATTTACTAAGTATAAATGGATGGGAAAAGCTAAATATTACTCCTCACCCCTATCAAAAAGTACAGTTAGCAGTTAACACCACCACTGGAAGATGCCGGTGGCCAAGGAATTCTCGGGGTGTCTTCTGCAGCAGGGGGAAACCACGTGGCACTGCCAGGACTAAGCCCAAGCTGGTGTGACCTGGTTCTCAGAGTTCGTTAGCTCAGGCTCCGTGCACACTAACTGGCATATTACCAGGCTGGATCGCAAACCCAGCATCTGCACGTTTCCCTGAGAAAGATCAGGTAAGTAGGGCAAAAAGTGCTTCCAGAACACGTGTGTGGGGTTCAGAGCACTGAACACAGCTTTCCATCCGTCTGTCCGCAGGAGGAAGAGACCATCGACGCTACGTGAGACCAGCCCCCGTGTCCTACCACATGAAACACCGCGTCAGCTTTAGCGAATCTTTTCCTAACACGAACATATTTACTCATACCAGGTGAAAATAAACCAAAAATCAGCTCATACAGGTTTTATGAGACGCACAACTGTCCTTTATGCTTAGGAAAAACGTTAGAAAAAAAAAAAAATCATTCTGACAAACGTAACGTGAAGTTTCACACCCAAATTCATTCTGGGTAATCTTGCAAGAATTAAAATTCAGAAGTCCCAGAAAAAGTCCTTGAGTGACTGGAATATTTAAAAAAAAAAAAAAAGTGTAAGAACTATTTTTCTATTATTAACTGTAAAGGTGGGGTTTGTGGCCTGAACAGAGCACGAGAAGGGTGGGCGTCATTGTTACTTGACTGGCAGGAAGCCTGGCACAGAAGAGTGTGCTGCCAGCAGCCCAGCATCTGACAGCTGAACAGAACTATCCCCACTGCTTAATCGAAGCCACATGTGCCCAAATTCCAATAGGTAGTCTACTAGGTCAAGGGCATTCCTCTTCCATCAGCGCCATCACACTAATAACCTTTCCTACAGAAACAGTTGCTGAAACAATCGTTTACTATGACAAAATGTAAAAGGCTGCCAGCGAAGTTTGACACCACGTATAACACAAAGGTCAATTTAATGTAATCTGAACACTGAACCAGCATGCAGAGTGCAGGTAGAAAATAAAACAAGATTATGAAAGGGATGTGTTCATTTGAGAGTTTCATTTTCCTATCTCATTATTTATCAGTACTAAGTACTTATCTTCATCTAATATGAATTCAATTAGTTCCGTAAGCATGTTCCATTATTCATGTGATAGCTCCAGCCTTGCTTATCCAACAGCTTATAAACTTTTAGCCTTCTTTGAAGTCACTTTATGGATTGCTAAATGGAAATCTTATAAAGAATGACTAACTAGGTGATGATAGAAAAGCTGAAAAATAAGAGCACAGAACACAGCTCTATATTTTCCACCAAGATTTTCCCTCATAAATCAGTTGGAGCCCTCTGACCTACAACAGGAGATTATCTTATCTCACTGGAGAACATTTCAGTCACAGCAAATTAGATTTAACAGTCAATGGATATGCTTGATATTTTAATCATAAGAAAAATTTGTCATTTTCCATTAAAATAACTGCTCCTTCTACAGAGACCCTGTGTAACACGGGAAACTGCAAACTAACTTTGAGATACAAAATGGTTTGGACAAAAGCTTTCGAGGTGAGACAGAGGGTGTATTTTGTTTAAAATCATTAACATTTCTGTTGTATCTCTTCCAGAGGACCCATTCCAAGATAGGGATAGCAAAAACCCACAGAACCAACGCTAAAGCTAGAAAATAATTTTTTTCCTACATTCCAAATTCACCCTCCCCTTTACAGCACAGCTTTCTCTGCACAAGTTTAGGCTTCCACTAACATTTATGCAACAACGACAAATTCTGCAACCAGAGCTGCTGGAGCAGAACCATGAGCCTATATATAACTGCAATTACTCCCATGGGGCTCTACAGTAGATAAAGAGTCCACCTGCCTTAACTTGAACAGAAGACTGGGGAATTAATCCCTTATCCTGAAAGTAGAACACGTGAATTAACAAAACACTTTTACAGATCTATTTGCTGAAATTTCAGGATTGAAAGAAAAATTAAGACTGAATAATGACTGTAGTTTCTAGTGGTAGTTTAGAAAATTATTGTGATAGGGAAAAATTAATATATTGTATTTTTAAAAATACGCAACTGCTAGATCACGAGAAAAAAAATTGCTACTAAGTCGCTATACTAACAAATAAACCAGACAATTTTATACTTACATATGAAGAAAAAGACAAAGAGAGTAAGCTTTCAGCATCAAAAACAGGCAAAGAGGTAAACTAGTAATTGTCTAGCTCATTTGACAAATGTCACCTTTCCTTTGCCCAAGGCACAGAGAAATTACGCAGTACTTGCCAACAAACAGATACAAAAGCCCACCATGTGATTTTATTTTGTTTTTCAGTGGAAAAAGCACAGTTAGCTGGAAGATGCAATTCTATCTGGAAGTATTCAATTTATCCTTAAGAGCAGAGGGAGGAGAGAAGACAGTTTGTTTTATTTATTTAATTTATTTCATGAGGCACTTTGAATAACTGTACTTTGCCAAAGTGTGTCTGTGTTCCAGAATCTCCGGCTATTCAAAAGCCATACTGGATTTAGTACTAAACAGATTTTTTCACAAGTTACTAAAACGGATGAAAATTGGCTTCTCCAAGAACAACTCCTTTTTTTGAGTTTTTACAGATGGAGTTTGGAAGGCCTACAGAGCCCTGCAATCTGAAAAACTGAGACAAAGGAAGAGGTGTGGGTTTATGCAGCAAGGCAGGAGTGAGACTTCATGCAAAGCAACTCCAAGGTATAATTGTTAAGGTTGGGTTTTTTTTCTGTACCCATTGCCAGGCTAACCACATAGCTCTTCGTGAGCAAAAATATTGGTGAAAGCCAACAAGTATCTGTATTGAGACACTGTCCCATCCTCTACCAGGTCTCTTCCTTCTTTTTCAAGCAGACAGACGCTGTAAGCAGCACGCCAGTGACGACCTGGTACAGATACAGGGCAGAAAGTTTCTTGACCAATGTGAAAAATATATGCTAGACTATTTCTTAGCAGATATCATTTTGGTCCTGTCTATGCAGTATTCAAGGATAATTATCAGAAACCCCACCAACATAAGCATATGATGTGCAAACAAACGTACATGTTGACTTTTAAAATAATTGCTTATTCACTAACACATTGTGCTGCAATTCTGTACTTTATTTAGCAATATAAAGGGCATTAAAAAAAATAATCTGTACCCAGGATGGTAAAGAAAGAAAAAGAAAAAAAAAAAGAGGTCCTGTATATTCCAGCTAGCTTCTCAGGAAAAAAAAGGGACTTCTAAAATTACTTCACATTAACACTGGAAAAAGGGGGAAGTTACACAGCACACTATCTAAGCTTTAACACACACAGAGGATCATTAGTACATATGTATGCCCTACTGAAAGAATAGGTTTGATCACTATTCCCAGAGAAATTACACATTTTTATCGACAACATAAGAACAAAGATTCTAGTAATACGCGTTAGTTTACGCGATGCGAGTTGTTATGGATCCTAACCACTGAGCCTGAATCTCCAAGTGCGGGTACCTACAACGGGCACGGGTCAATGCACTTTAAGGGCGTTTGTAACTCCCACCAGTTGGACACTGCCGCTCAGTGAAGAGCCTACAAAGAGGCAGCGCTCTCTGGGCAGGACACCTCTTCCCACACGGAGCAGACACACGTTGCTCAGACTTCCTGCGTGAAGGGGCACAATTAATAAGGACTAGGATTTTCATAGGGATCTAAATTAATAGCTTATGTTGTCCTCCAGATACTTTTGAGGAAAGTCATCAACTGCTTCACCAGTACTGGAAGCAAAAGCAAATGTGCGATTTCCACTTTTAGAGTTTTTAAAAAGTCACATGAATTACTCTGAATTGTTTATATGTGAAGATTTCTGTGAGGGCTGGTTTTCTGCCAGCTTTGTGTTAACATTAACAGCAAGTTCCTTCTTTTCAGATCTTTTGAACATTAAAAAAATTACAATCTGTCTGCAAAAGCCGAAAAGAGAACTGTAACTGTCAACATTTCGGTTTAATATCGACTCTGCCTTTGTGAATACAGAGTCAAACCAAGGCAATAAACTGATTAAATGAAGCAACAGGATGGAGAGGGGAACACAACGTGAGCTCGTCACCGACTGCTGAACTGCAAACAGAAAGTGTGCCTGCAGAGTATAAGGTATCAAATAAAACTCCCTTAAGATTTAACATTTTCATGTATGCTTATCTTCAATTCTCTCAGCACTCCCAAATTAACAGGATTATTTCATTTTTAAGCATATGAATGAATGTATAATTGCGTGCAGAATTTGGCTCTACATCATAAAACTATATATAGTTTCAGAAATGGTGAGAAAGACTTACCTCCATCAAACTTAAATGTATTCCAATGAGGTAGGGCATTGGGGCACTGCAAAGAGGAAAAAAAAATCTAGTTTTACATTCTCATAACACCGGATTAACACATACGATTTAAAATTAGCTGCAGGAAAATACCAGGATACTGGATTAGATTTTGCTTTTAGAAAAAAAAAATAAAAAAATATATATATACACATAAATATACGTATAAACAAACCACATTTTGTTCCATATTTGAAAGACTTTTTTTACCATGCACTGTCCTATCACTGCTGTAACACTTGAATTTTTCTTACCTGAATTTTTCTGACCAGAATTTCTAAGTGGCTAAGTTAAGACAGATACATAAAGACAGCTATTAAACATATCTAGAATATTTGGGTCTTTTTTTAAAAAAAACAAAATGTCTTATTACAATTTTCAAAAAAAAATACCCAGACTTTTTCCCAGGATTATTCTATAAAAAAATTGATCCTGTTGTAGTCTCAAATGGTTAATTTAACAAATACGTATCATCCGGTTCTACAAGTTTTAAAATCTTTGAATATGGGTCCAGACACATTTTAAAATCATTTAAGTATAAATCTTAAAATGTTTACATTTATTAAAGAAAAAATTAAAATTACTTTTGAAGTTTTTGATAAACTCCAGAATTACACTGATGCCATTATTCTCTTCAGAACACAAGAGGTAAATACACCAAGAGGCTCTGAGGCCAAATCTGCAGCCTCAGACACAGGTGTGATACTTCTGTTATCAAACAGAACGCTAACGTTTAAGAGAAAGATTGATCTTTCCCATCTTCTCTTCCATGGTGTTAGCAAACACCAACATGGACTATATCCCACAAGAAGACTGAATGAAAGTTGTATCTCTGTGTATACAGTATTTCTAATATTAAGCTTATTACAGGACTCCCACTCAACTAATCGGGGAAAGCTTATATTTGCACTGCTTATTAGAACACATCAAAGAGGATGCCAAAGCTGCTAATTGCAAATATGGCATATACTGCCTGTTAAACGGAAAGCACACAGACAGACACAACTTTTAAAATAGAGCCTCATTTCATTTTGGATACAGAAGCTCAAAGAGCTCATTTTCAATTTCAGATGAAAAAAAAAATCAGAGAAATGTCACTGTACTGCCTTGGATTAAAATATCTTCCATATTGCTTTCATAAACTGGTGCCTACTGCTCAGTAAGAGAAGTACAGTGCTGAAAAAACTACTGCAAGACACCAGACCAGCAAAAATCACTCTGCTTCTCATTTTAATGAGAAATACCTTTTAAAAAAAAAAATCCTACTGATACACATATTAATATTTATCATGTTTACTAATACACTCCCCAAACCTGCTACTCTGTTGGATGCTGTACCAGGAGATGGAAGCAGCCTCTCTGTATTAGACATTCTACCAGAAAACACATGTTTCCTGTCTTCAACAAGAAAAAAAATGTAACTTTAAAAAAACCTCACAAGTTCATTTGTAGAACACGTTACGACTCACTGAGTACCCAGGCTGGCACAAATGCCCCCGCACTGCTTCACCCCCTCTGTCACCTTGGGATGGACAGCCCAGGGGCACCGTGAAACCACAAACTAACTCATACTGAGGGTTCTGCTTCCTTGGGAATTCCACAGATGAGAACCAGAACATACATCCCAGTTCCTGGACAGAAATTTTCACCATACACCATGATACACGCTCAGTACGTATGGATTGCTGCTCAGCTACGGAGTATTTTTGTTTGTCTTTTTGCCTGTTTTATCTGTGACAAACACTATCTCTTTCACCCACAATTCTTCATGGCCACATTCCAGGAGCAAGAAAATACCCAGTAATTTTATATTCAAAGTATAAACCACTGGTTCAGCTGCCAGCTGCACAAATGCTCAACTTCCCTGTGTGCCTGGCTATGCTGCTTAAGACTCCTCCAGCATGCACTGAAATGAATGTGTTTCTAATTAAGTAGTTTCATGAACACGACAGCTTCAATCTCAAAAATACAAAGTCTGAACCTCGGCAGGAAGTCTTAAGACTGCAAATGTCTCATCTAGTGGAACCTTGGCTAATGTAATGAAAGGAAGCAGGAAGAGTGCAGTATTCCAGAAAACCAGCCATTTATTAACGTGTCCAAAAGTAGAGTCTGACACCAAGCGCAGGAAAATCTGAACCTGTAAAAGTTAATTAACTGTATCATGTCCATTTTTCAATCCTCCAGTTTATCAACAAAAGAATAAGAAGAATGCCTAAACCCTTAAAACCACGCACCCTTGCTAAGATCCTAAGGAGTTACAGGAAAGACAGGGCTTAAGATACATGGATCAGCTTTAGATGCACTGAACCATCTTTTCAATTTCCTAGTGACAGACGTTACACGTAGAGGCAACACAGCATATAAAACTACTACAGGGACTGCATAAAGGCTGCAGTAACCCGACTTCAGCAGTGTTTTGAAAGCTGTTATTTCTTTAAACTTGCACTGCTGAACATTGAAGGACTCCAGTCAGGTGCTTAATGGGCTGTAGAGTGCACACACCTGGACAGACAGGAGAAAGCAGGAGGGACAATTTGATATTACAGAACTGCAAAGAGCGGTTTTAGCATACCCACTGATAGGAAACACAGCTCAGGTTTTGCTGATCGAGATGAAAAAAGGAAACTCTGAAGCAGTAATTTGTTAAAGCATAACGTGCCAGTTTTGCAAAATATTTGTGTTTTACAAATAGTTGCAGAGATTTCCATGAGGGCATGAGGCAGAGCACAGAAGATGACATCAGGTATTTCTCTGAGAAACATTTAACACCTGAGTGAAGAACGGGATCAGGGGGCACTGGGACACGGCTCTGGTGCAGAGATGACAAGCAGCCAAGGAACAGGCTATGAAGGGCTCCAGAAGATCAATAGCATGTTTGATGCTGAAGAAAAGATGAGGAAAATAGAGGGTAAATGAAGAAAGTTGACAAAACCATACAAAAATAAGTCCTGTAAGAACTTTTTCAATGTTTATAAACAACTGTTTGGCTTACAAAAGTCAGAGGGAAAAGACTGACCGGTCAGAGCTTGGGCAAAGATGCCTGGAACCACACAGATGAGTAAGAACGGCCACATTTCAGACATGAAGCAGAAGAAACAAATCATTTAGAAATGGATTAGATCTGAAGACTAACAGAGAATTTCCCTGATTATGGGAATATATGAAAAGAAATTAACTCCGTTTTATCCACAAAAGCCATTGGTTGTAAGGGCTGAAAGGCGCCAAAGAGGAGTGACAAATGGGAGACATCCACAAACCTCCCAGCAGAGAACCCAGGGAAACACGTGCAGGCGTCAGTCTGTGTGAAAGGTGACAGGCGTGGGGAAAGCGGATCGGGGATGCACCTGTGGAGCACTTCTTTCTGAAGGTGCGTTTGTGGGAAATTTGTTTATTCAAAACTGCTTTAAAACAACCATGACTGTTCACCATCCGAGTGTGCATCTTAAAGTGCTTTCTCCACAGATAACAAAGATCAAATTATCTGAACACTTAATTTTATCAAAATTCATCTTCTTTGTCACTATTGATCACTATTGGTCACTTTGACACTTGAACAGCAAAGCAAAAGCAAAGGTATTTTAAGAATAATTCACCGTGATAGCTCCTTATACTCATGATAGATCCTTATACTCCCAAAAGGTTAATTAAGCAAGCTTCATAAATAACCTCAATAAAATATAATTCTGGTAAAAAGCATAAATATTTCAATAAAATCTATCAGAGAGATTATATTCCTCTGTCATCACATCAATCTAACTGAAAAGGAAACGCACCTAAAAGTAAACGTTGAAGGTTCACGTCAGGCTCCATAAATTGCTTCTATCACCATTTTCCTTTATCACGTGTTTATCACATGCCGTCACTTAAATTCAGGTTCCAGCCTGTCCCGGGGAACGCTGGGTGCCTCCTCTGCCCCGTTCAGAGCACACAGTAAAAGTTCTGCCCAGCTGCTATTCAGGTCCTGAGCCATGAAACGCCCAAGCAGGTTTTAACGTTTTGGCAGGTTAGATGGCTATTTACAATACTTTTACGTGAACTTCACTACGACTCACTGCTCGTACGAGCAGGAGAAACACTGCCCAAGCTTTAATCCTCCTGGGACCCACGCAGACTAAGGACTGCCCTTCAGACCAGCCTTTACCCACTACTTGACACTTCCTCAGTCCTGAAGCTTCTTACAACCACAACTACTCATTACTCAAAGTTGTCTGATGGCAGCCAATATTCATTAAGCGCAAAATTAAGAAGTATCAATTTCGACTGTGCATATTTACTGCTTAAACAAAAAGCCTGCCTAAGTCTTTTGGAACAAAGAGAAAGGTTATTACTCCTCTCGTGCTACAGTGGTTCCTGATGCAACCAGTGTTATTTATAATCAAATGAGTTATATAGGTAAATATCAAATCATTAAAGTAGCAATGCATAAGCATGAATATGGATATTGTGGACTTAATGGCTATATATTGCCCATTTATTACAGTTGCATTTTTACAATTTCTTTAATTCGTTTCCTTAGGCTAACTAGAGACCTCTTAATTATGCTCCCAAGAGGTGGGCAACTACTAATTGGAAGAGAAGTAGGTGAAATAGAGGGACATTTCCTCTTAAGTGAAAAAAACCCACCCTTAAAAAATGCTGCAATTCACCAGAAAAAGTAATATAAAACCCAAGGATCTCAAACAGGTTCATAGTTTACAGCTACACAGGGATTTGCACCATTTTGCTTCATTGTTCCAGGAAAATTGATTAGATCACATTTACCAAATTCGAGTCTTGATGTACAAATACTGACTGAATGTGTTGCTCGTTCACACCAGTAGTACTTTACTCTCTAAGGGAGCCTCCTGATTTCTCTTCAGATTACTCACCGAAATGCAACAGAATTCAATCTGGAATTTATTGGGGTAATTGATGCAAATCAGAAACTTGACTGTATAAATTGGAACGATGTGGAAAACATACAGCTAAGAAACCAGAAGAGCAACTACAAGAGCTTTTAGTGAGTACACAGATGTACCAGGCTAAATCGAAATGCCTACCGAGAGGCTCATGAGGAAGGAATCATTGTTTCCTGAGCAGCAGGAGTACTCGCCCTCCAGTTACCCCCTCCACCTACTTACAGGAGCATATTGAACTATATGCAGATTTAGAAAACAGCAGAAAGGGAGTGAAAAAAACCTCCTGGAGAAAGGGACAACTGCACCAATAGAAACGTTTGTTCAGCAGCTGTGCCAGGGTGCTCTAAGGAGGTGGCTCTCAGAATATATTAATGTTGGCCGCTAAGTAGCCTATCTAATATAAAAGACTGTTTCAATCACCACAGAAAATATACTGTTGCTTCTGGTGAAAGCTCACAGAATAACCCGAGTGACAATGCTCTGGGACTTAGAGGACGTAGTAAGCCCCGTTACCAGGTCAGCAAAGACAGGTTTTTTCTTACAGGCTAATTTTAAACACAGACACTGAGCGCAAAAAGGAAGAAAACAGACACAGTGGGAGTGTTTTTATGCCACATGAAAAACAAACTGGAAGTAGTAGTGAGGAAAATTCGTAAGACTGTTTCTTTCACATCAAGAAATGTTTAAATTCCCAACAACAAAATAGATGGACAAGATCTGGCCAAATTTACTTAGTTGTATGTGCTTGGCTACTGATGCTTGGTGACAGTATCTCATTAACCAGTACTTTTGGCACCTGCTGGCATGTACTTTTAAAAAAAACAAACCCCAAAAAACAACCAGCAGTGCTTCATATGTTCCCTCTGTTGCTCTGTATTCAAAGGAACAAGCAATTGTGCATTAAGGTGTGAAATCTAATGGTAGGATTCCCACCAATTTCTAGTCTCCTCCACCCCAAATCTTTCCCTGGGCTGAAAATATATCAAAGAATGGTACCTAATTAAAAAATAAGAATAAAGGATAGCACTCGTCCCCTTGCTTCCCCTCTCTCACCCTCCCACCCTCAATTAATATAAATGATAGGGATCAGATGACTGAAGAAATTCCAGATACATGTACACGGTACCACACCGCTACCACTGACAAAGAGCAAGTGCATCCAAGACAAACATTTGGAAGATACAGTCTTTTGGCATTTCCAATTCTGTGGTTAGGTTCGTGAATGAGGAATGCAGGTGAACGTAAATATTAAGATTAAAAAAATCCTTTCAAGAGGGAAATGGGAAGCAGCTACCAGGGACTCTCCACACCCAGCCTGAACTTCCTCCTACTTCAAGGGTCTTCAAGTGGCAGGAGAAGAGTTAGTTATTCTACCCATTCGCTCTCTGCGGAGAGCTATTCCACCTTTCCGTGCCTCTGGAAAGATCCAGTAGTTGTTGCATTCCCCGTCCCTCCCCAGGCAATACAACAAATTTCAAATTTCACAACCATGGAGCTGTCAGTGTATCAGTCGGGACCTTAGAAGTTTCCTTTATATGAAAAGTTTCCACTGTGACTCAAATGACTGAAAGCAAATCATCTCAGGTGGAATATACTTTTTTTCCAAAAGCTTTCAAAGATCACAAGTAAAACAGTCTATGTACCCTCCTGTGATTTTCAGATAAGCAAGAGAAGATTCAAAAGCATCAGACAACAGAGGCAATAAACGGACACAGTCAACTGAATGGACCTGATATTTTGTATTCCTAAGAACTGAAAACTTCTTATTACTTTAAATTCTGTTTCCATTTCAACTCTTTACAATTCTTAAGTAATATTAAAACAAACAAAAAAAAGCAGACAATAATTAAAATCAAACTCATATTAAATAATCTCAGGTCATTTCCCTTAAGAAGCTGACTACCAATAAGCAATAATATCACCTTAAAGCAGAGAGCAGGGAGCTGGTTTCTCAGTCCTCCTAGACAAAAATGACATCTCTAAGTTCACATGGTTACAAAAGAGATGGACTCTATTTTGAGAAATATATTTATGGCACAGAAATTGTTGCTAAATTGACTTATTCAATCACGGTGTGCGTAGCTACCTCTCCAATTAACGTTCCTATCTGGCTAAGGCAATCAGTTGTTGTATTTGTGAGCAGGCAATTACAATCTGCCTAATAATTGTACATTTTTTAATCATACTTTTCACACACTAGCTGGCTCATTCGTTATATGGACAGGGTGTTATGCCATGAAAGAATTCATTCAGTAGAGCTCAATGACTTGTGCCTTTATTTCCTCGGGTACACTGCCCAAGTGTTTGCTTTTCGCACACTTCTGCTCCCCAGTGCGGGATCTGGACTTTGCCCCTTTTAACATGTCTTTGTCAGAAAGTCGATGAATACCTAATCTCCAAACCCAACGTAAAAGCCTCTTGTGGTCCACACGGTTGTCCTGAAAACTCCTAGCAGCATGCACCTGAAGGAAAAGCTGGCGCAGCAGCCTTCACGTGTTAATTACACATGCGAAGCCCATTATGCAGAGAAAGGGCACCTGCTGGCAGTGCAAATGGCGAGGATCTGCCCTTCCTGGGCAGGGAGTAAATTGAAGGTTCATGTCGACAGGAGAGAAGAGTTTTTAGGTTCCGTTCTGTGTATCCTCCACATAGGCACATACTTAACATTTACATCACCTGCAGTGGAACAAGCTTCCTTTAAATCTACATGTTTCAGCTCCCAGCACTTTGCTTAAAAATGCAAGTGGTCCTGGCTGGTTCCTTACTCTTGCTTAAACGCAGAGAAAGCGTCACCCGGAACACGATCACTCTGAGGAAACAAGCCAACCTCCACACTAAGCCACACTTGAAGCGTGGTATCGTATGGCACAGTAAGTTTGTTTTTTTTCTGAGGAGGACTTTTTAAAATGCTAGGGAGCAGAGGGAGGCTCTTCTTAGGTTTTCAAATCATTCCCAAAAGTGCTTTAAGCACCCGACTCCCACAAACATTCCCGCTAGGCAGAGCCCTGCAAGGCCCTGCCAGTGAAGGCAAAGGCACCGAGTCCCTCATCCCTTGGCTGCACGACCATGCAGCAGCAGGTCCACGTTTTCCTTGCGCTTTCCTTTCACCTCAAGGCCTGTAGAAGCCTCTCGTTATCTTTCACATCCCTCAGTTTGACTCCAGCCAAGCTCTGGCCTTACTAACTCCATCCCTGTATGTCCAGGCAACAATTCCATTAAGTCTCTAACGTGGCTTGCAAGTAACTTTTCTAGGAAGCCCGAGGTAAGGCCACTCTTTCTGGGTGAACTTCACCTCCCTGCTACGTACACAGCGGGGATAAAAAAGGGCAAGTCACACACAGAGCATGGGAAGCAGTAACTATCAGCTGGGCAACTAAAAGCAGCATCATCTTAAACTGCCTCTCTGTTAACTACTCAGAGTGCTCATGCACCATTCCTGTGCAGAGCAAAGGGGAGAGAAGTCATGGCTGATGGGGCTAAACTGCTCGACTCTGCCCTGGAAAAGAAAGTAAAAACTGAGAGGCTGTCTGAGGGGCATTGCAGACAGACTTCTAACCACGGAGTCCCAGGCACCGGCCTGACGACACGCTCACCTGCAGAGCCCAGCACTGAATAAGGAGGCTCCTCAGGCCACCTGGACAGTGTGGGATCACAGAACAGGTGGGAAGGAACCTCAGGTGGGCAACTGGCCCAAGCTCCTGGTCGAAACAGAGCCAGCTCTGCCATTACGTGGGCTGTACCAAAATCGGTTACATCAAAATAATGACTAAGCTCTTGAAAGGTTTATATCCATCCCCCTACATGAGGTAAATACCATATTCTAGACATGGGCTGATTATAAATGATGACTGCAGGGAAATGAACAGCTTCCCCTTCACCCCCAGTAAAAGTTCAGGAAAGCAGAAAAACGAGAATATCTTCTCCACTGCATCCTCTACTGTCGGGAGTCTCAATTCAAATTTTAACATTTAACACAGATACGCTGAAAACAGATTTTAATTACACAATATCTAAGTTTGCAGCATTCCATAGTAACCACTCCTATTAGCGTATTTCAACATGCTGATAGACAATTATATCTTGCCATGAAAATAATTTTTTTCACTCACTAGTTGGTTGCTTCCTTAATATGCCTCTATATTTTTAGAGTAACAGTTGCATCATAAGAGGACTTAAGACTTACTATACGGAAATGTGAAAACTGTTGTGAATCTAAGTGATATATATACATATATAAAATATATATACATACACACATATATATAGCCTTACCAACAGTAGTCCAATAGATGTGGGGGCAGAACAGGAATGTAAACATGCTGCCAGAACATCGGGTAGAGCATAGCTGCAGACCCATGAATGCAGGCAGTTAACTGAAAAACACATATTAAAACAGGATCATAAATAAGACAAAAAACAAGCTTCGAAAGGTAAAGTTAGAAGAAAAATAAAAAAAAAAAAAAAAAGGTATTGGAGGGTGAAGCATGACTGGTTTATGGTGGTTGTCATTCGACTGACTTTGTAAGCAGCTGCGAACATGATTCATTCAACAAACAAAACCTCAAAAGAACACCCAGTGTTCTATAAGCAACAGAAACATGGAAATGAAAACACAAAGAGAAATAAAAAATATTAAAGGCAAATCCCCCAATCCTGGTAATCACCACCCATTAAATATCATAAAACTGCACTGAAATTATAACACAAACTGAAAAAATATTTGAATTCAGGAAGATACAGTGTGAGTGGCATACGTTTCTGAAGAATACATCATATTAAACTCAGTGATTAATTTTTATTATTTAAAACAGATTTTTATCTACTTGCCCTTCGACATTTGATCCACTGAATTTCTCAGTTACATTTTTTAAAACTCATTCAGAATAGTTTTGATGTTGGCAGGTACTGAATGAAAAAAAAAAATCACAAATAGCAAACACAAGTGCCAGTCAAGCCATGGGGAGAATCCTCACAGAGCTTTGCAGGAAATCTCTCAATCCCATTTCAAACAATAATTAATAATTTGGAAAAGAAGATAAGCAGGATATTCGTCAGAATCGCTAAGGATATTAAAATGGAGAAGGCAGTAATCCTCAATAAGGAAATCCCAGCAAACGCTATGGTCAAAATATCATAAGAAGAGGACGTGAACACACAGATATTTGGGAAAATAGAAAATAAATAAATAACTCCGAACACTCATACAAATAGACACATACAAGGAAAAGACTAAGAGGTGACAGGCAATCACACCCACCCTGACAGTGTTGTGCAGTTTAGAGTGTCTTTTAATCTCAAGTGATACCCAGCACAAGGACCACGATGTGCTTCACTTGAGGATCGTTTTCAAAATGTGTCTCACGACAAGAGCCTACCAGTTATTTGAAGGTATGATGAAACCGAGCATATAGCACTGGTCTGGACAAGAGGAGGGAGGAAGAACACTGCTTACAAATACCAAAAAGACAAATTCTAAAGGACTGAGGTCCTTGTGGGGGCCTGAAGTTGTGTGAGATGAAACTAAGCAAAGACGACTTGTGACATTAATCCTAATCCAGTTAGATGTGAGGTAACCTATAAAAAAAAAAAATCCTCATTATTATTAATTTCCATTCAGACAGACTGAATGATGCACCTCGTCACAGGGAGCCCACGACTGGCAAAGAAAATGGTCTAGATGAGCTAATACAGTCTCTTACGGCTCCATGTCGGGGAAAATCAGCTGCAGCTCAGCGCCAAAGTCTGTATGTAATTCCAAGGCAGTTTCCTTAAGTAACAGAACGGGTTTTCTGATTAAAATGCAGGTCATTAGGCAAGAAGATGGAAGGCAGGGACATGCTGTATGTGTTATTTTTAAGCCTCTGAACAATTCAGATCTGGATAAGCAGTGAGAACGCACCGAGGAAGATGGATTTGGGGGGAGAATTACTGTGCTCCCCTCCAGTGTGGTTCGGCTAAGAACCACAGTGAGGTATGAGCTTTTGCAAGCAGGTGTTTTTCCCAGCAGAAAAGTGACTGTAAAGATGAACTGAAATACTTGCAATTTACAGCTTAAAACAGACACAGATTTTTAAAAATCATTTAAAACCTGACCCAGTACGCCAGGTGTAAACCCACACGGGACCTCAGTGATAAAAATTTCAGACATAAAACCCCTCAAGTTGAAAAGCCAGAATTTTAAAGCTATACCTTGTACCTAGTTGCGAGATATTGTTCTTGTGGCTAAAATATGTGAACAATCTGTCTGTTTAATAGTGGGTTTGAGTTCAGATCATCCCTATCACCGAAGGAAAACCCAAGGAAAAGAATGGCCTTCTAAACCAGATGAAAAATCCCTTGCCTCCCAGTGTTCTGTCCAACAGTGGTCGACACAAATTACTAAAACCACTGATTAACACATCCATCAATAAAATTGGTATTTCCCGTTTTCTCAGTCCCCACCAGCTTGCAGTTCACACTTCATGTGCCAATGAATTGAAAAGCGCTGCCCTGCCTCTTCATTTTGAGCCTGTTCCGTCACAGCTTTAATGTGTGCTCTGAGCTTTGAGCGTTTTGAGACAAAAAAAAAATATAGATAAATAAAAATCTCCTCCTCATCTTCTAAGGGCCACACATGATTTTCTGGATTGCTGTCAAGTTCACTGCCTCCTTAGTGTCTTTATCAGGCTGAGCGAAGAGCTCTAATCTACCCAGATTTTCTGAAATGAGAGATTATTTTGTATATTTGCTTGTTCTTGTTACCCTTCTCTGTACTCTTCACTGGTTTACTTTATCATTTTTTTTTATTTGGAGTAGATAAGAACTCATGCAATATTCACAATGTGGGCAAGCCATGAACATATCTAGTGGCATTATGCCCTCTTTTTTGTCTCTACTCCCTTCATAATAATTTCTTGGCTTCTAAGTCTTCAACTGAGTAATAAGCTGGCATTTTCATAGATCAATCTCTCTTTTTAGAAAAAACTCCAGCATCTCTTTCCGAGTGGTAATAATTACTTCAGTTATTCAGACCATGATTGCTTACACGGTTACAAGTGTTTCCTCCCATAATCACCGTTTCCTATTTATCCATGCTCTGCAACAGAATGACAGCTACAACACTGTCACCCCTTTTTAAAAACTGTGTTTCATGAGGACATCGAACTGGTTCCAGTCAGCACTACTGGACTGTTTAGAAACTCCAGGATTAGGAAAGCTGGTAATTTTTTCTCACTCTTAACTCCCTCAACCTTTTAGCGAGTTGTTTACCCTCAAGAGGATCAAACTCTCCTATGTCATGAAAATTTAATAGCTTTGAAGAATTCAACACTGTTGAATCTTACCTAAATTTTTAAATATTTTTAAGATTTAGGGCATGGATTTCTTTTGCAAAGGTCATATTTACTCTTCCCCAGCAGCCTTTGTCTATGAATTCACTAGTTCTAGTCCTCATTGTGACAGGCTTCGAGTTTTTTCATAAAAAAATAGCTCCAAGAACTGTAGTTTCTTTAAGGGAGAATGCTATCACACCCAACTTTCAACTCCAAAAAAATTTCTGAAATAAGATCTTATTCTTCAGGTTCATATCTCTTCCTCTGTTCCTTTTTCTAGAATCTAGTTTGATCTTATTTTCTTCAGAATTCAGCAGCTGCATTTTGGTGTGCAGCACTGAAGCTTCTCTACACAGTTGCTCACTGTGGTACAGTAGCGCCACTTACCACGACTGCAAACAAAAATCTATTTGCATCTCGGGTTTCTGTCTTATCTATTATGTCCATCTCCTGGCCTGTATTCCTTACCAATTCCTTACCATACTGAACCATAGATAATCTGGCCAAAAATTTTCATGAATCAGTGACATTCGTCTGCACAAATAGTACTGTTTCATCTCCATCCATCTTTAACACCCACTTCAGTATCTCCACAATTTCACTAAACTCTCTCAAGACATACTGATAAAAATCTGGAGGTACAGTCTCGTCTGATCCGCCTTTTCATATCCCTTGGATTTTCACTTCTGTCTCCCTTGAAGGCTGTAGTCACTCCTCACCTCAGCACTGCTGGATGTGGCAAATGTCAAAACAAGAGGGTGCACAAAGCTCAAAAGTACCCCAGTGCTGATAACGTGTTTCCGTAAGCGAGACTAGGCAAGAATGCCAACTAGATTTGAACCGCCATCCCAAGGAAATGGCATCTTGGAAGCAGACAGGGTCCAGGAAGAATCTGAGCAAGTACCTGTATATTATTTTATGGTCCATATGGGATGGAAATATTAGTATGTTGGGTCACTAATTAAAGCAAAAGTTAGGAGCTACCAAATCTTGAATTTATTCTATATGACTCACAAAAAGATTTATCCCTATCCCATTATATTTCAACTTATCTTTATATTACTCCTACTAGAGATGATGCTCCTCTCTCACAGATTAGATGAAAGGCATAGCCTAGCTCCAAAATATGCAGCAGAAAAAAAGGGCGTGCTTTCCCACTGTAGTTTTTCCTCTATATTCCTAAATCCTTTATGTTTTCTGTTTCTGTTCTCCAAATCAAAAAGATGTCTGGAAAAAAAAAATATTGTTTAAAAATTTAATTCTTACTTAAAAATCGTTTCTATGAGGATCAAATGGATCATTTCCTGGCATTATTATATAACATGGTTGCCGTTGTAGAGGAGTGAACTCAGGAATCCAAGAAGGCCCCTTCCAAGCCCCCCTCCCATTGGTTTTAAAACTCAGCAAGAAAAGATTAAACAGACATAATGCTCAACACTGCAGACATCTGAGCAGAACCTGTCACTTATTTTTGAGATGTACTCCCACCTTGCTATCTGGCATGAATTCAAATAACATACTACCATGGGTAAGCACCAGCACTGTCCTTCAACTCTGCCAAGATAAGGGCTCATAAAAAAAGAAATAGCATATTTGCTGGAGACCTCACCTGATTAGTGATTGCCATACAGAAAACAAGCACTTAATAATAAGGCAGCCTGAGAAATGCCCAACTGTCAAAACTATAGGAATCCTGCATTTTGAAATAAGATTAGTTCCACTACCTCAGCTTCCTGCAGCTGTTGCTAGAGAATGTAAAAAGATAGCTGTGTAAGACAGACACCAACTCAGTAATTCACTTTTCGCAGTTTTGTATTTAATGCTCTAAAAAGCCTTATTTGAGCAAATGAAATCAATGGGATTTTGTCACACATCTAAAAGTGATCAACTGATGCTGAATTACAACGGGCCATTTTCCAGTGCATTTTACTCTCTCCCCCGATGCGTATACACTGCACGGCTTTGCAGATGCACTACGTGGCTACAAACGTGCAACATATCCTGGCAAAAATGACCACCTTTTGTGTGCCTGGAAGATCCTTTTCCTGCATTACTCAGGACTAAAGACAAAGAAGAAAGCTTAAGGCTGAGCTGCGCAGGAATTGAAGTGGGCTGTTGCAAAGGCTGTGTATGAAGGTCAAGACTGGCAGGTCACAAGGACGGGCACAGAGCTCCTGGGAGGGAAGCGCTCCCACATTTAGAACAGTAGTTGTAGGACTGCTGTAGAACAAGAACTGTGCAAGCTCTGAGGCATTCTGCATCACAAGGACATTGGTGAATGGTATTCATCACAGGTTGTCTTCTCCTAAGGACCAGCATTTCCTTAGAGCAGGGAGCAAGAGGTTGTGTACCAGAGCTTTCCGTGACGTGGAAGAAGTGACACAGCAAGCTCTCAGCTCCCAGGAGCAGAGGAGCAGCCATGTCAGAATGTTGGTTTTGGTTTTTTTTGCTTTGTACTAACACTCAAAAAATAAAGAGTAAAATTAGGTAAAGGAATTCACTTCAGTATGATGGAGCCAAACAGAAACATCACAGAAACTCACAAGTGTAACTCTTTTCAGAGTCATCAGGCTTCATGGAAGCCACCTTTTTATAATGAGAGAGGACTTTCTGCTGCCCTTACCACAAATGGTTAACAGGGCTTGCTGTGGCTGGGCTGCATGAGCAAGTTATGATGGACCAGAGAAGGCTGGGTGCAAGGAAAGCTCTGCTCTCATTCTTGCAACAGCATGCTCCCACCAGCAGGTGGTCTTCTGCCAAGCACAAGGGTTTTGTGCATTTTGGTTCATATCTGGATTTTCACGAGTAGTTAGACCACAGAATACGTGAAGAAATTTAATATGAATAATTGCTTTAACATTTTGAAAAATTATCTGGAGTTTCCTTTTGTAGGAAAAAGAAAAAAATTAAGAAAGCAATAATTTTTCCATATTCAGTACACATGGTTTATAAAATAGCTAATAAACACAGCTTCATTCATTTACCTCTAAATCTTATTAAACTTGACTATATTAAGGATATTTTGAATCAAAATTTGAATTTGATATGATGTATTAGAGCACAGAATTCGTTCCACCATAAAAGACCTTCAATCCAGGACTTTTAATTTTCTTTCTCTTACCTGATATTAAATTCAAGCCTTAAGTATGAAGCGTGCCATGTGTCTCAAAGTTAAAAGAAATTACCCGCAAATAAGTGCCTTCCACTTTTTTGTTAAAAAAAAACTAAACAAGAAAAAAAAAAAACAACCAAACAAACAAAGAAACCAATCCCTCTCACCACCACACCACCCTCACTTTACTTTGAGAATTCGCAGTTTGGTACGTTTCCAGTTACAAGGTCTTGGCTTCCGCTGAGCACAGTTTGAAATAAAATAATGCAGCTTGTTCCTACTGCTGGAACATGCAGAGCAGAGCGTGCAGGCAAGGAATCACTGGCTCCGGCCCAACACTTCAAACCTGTCTTACACTGTCACTCCAATCTTGGAGCAGTTTATATATAAAGTTGTAAGATAAGAACACACAGTATGAATACCCCTCCCTACCTAAGAACCAGACATGCTTTTATCTTGGACAGAGGCAAAAGGAAGAGAAATAGCAGAAAGATAGGAAAGAAAACACAACCCTACTTGTGAAATGGCTCATTAAGGAAGGCAAAGTGACAGGTAAGTAATTCTTCTTCCCAGGCTCTGTCACAAAGGGAGAGATTAAACCAACCAACCACACAAATTTTGAAATGCTTTGGGTAGCCGTTCTCTTCTTTCCTCCTCTCTGATAATTTACTATTCTTTTCATTCTTTAGATTTCTGAAATAAACATTGTTCTTTTCATTTTATTCAATTACCAAGCCTGGATGTATTTTCCCTTATTTTAGTAGAACATTTGGCAGATGTAAAACCTTAACTTTTATAAGTTTTCTATGATATTCAACTTTATAATACTTAAATTCTGTCAGTTAAATGTGGAATTGACTGTAAACATTTAATAATTACGAACAGGTCCCAGAGATTACTCTAACTCTCCTAGTTTCACTTACCATTCAAACCAATACTGTAATAGCTATTCTGAGATTAAGTATAAAGTCTTACTCTCTCTCATTTTTCTGCCCTGTATTGACAGGCCATCCTTACATAGTATTTACAATTCCATGAAGGAGTTTTAATCTCAAACACAAAGTAGGTCATGGCCATACAGTAAGAGACTAGTCAGGACCATACAAAATGGAAATGGAAGCTTGTATTTTAGAAAGGAGCGCTCAAGTACTTAGTCCATAGCACTAGAAAGCACAATTAGTTAAACCATCTTATGCTCATCATTCATAAAGGAAATCGAATCAATACCCATTTACAGAGCAAACAGAACGAAAACTTAACATTTTCTTTCATAAAGAAAATCACAAACTTATTGACAGATAAACCCTGAAATGTATAACACAAAACTTTGCACTAAATCAAGCTGTGTGCTTGTTTTGACGTCCAGCCATTTGTTGAAGAGTACTCTGGAGTATTCAGTAGCTTTCATCTCTCAGACACTTGATGGAGCCTAAGTAGCATTAAGGCTACACCTTATCAAACAAAACTGCAAAAACGTGGATTGTCAATGTATTTTAGCCCACTCCTTCGGTCCATCCAGGGAAGGTCACCAGAGCATCCATCTGACAGCATCATTTACCTGTTTATTTTTCCTGTTGAGTAAATTATGAGAAAGGGACTTCACCAGGGCATAAATATTTGTACCTTTATGTACCAAACAACCCAAGAATTCCTATATCCAAAAAACCCTTTTGCATTTGAACATTAGAGGCTAACACAAGTGCAGTAAAATCATCACACAGAACCACAGAATTGAGTTGAGGTTGCACAGCTGAGGTTGGAAAGGGGACCCGGAGATGATCAGATCATTTCCTAGATATGACTGTCATTTTAAGAAAAGTACTGTGAATAGAGGAAATTATTCTGCATTTTACTTACAGTGCTCAGCTTACTACAACAAATGAGGATGCGGCGTTCATACAGCATACTGGCATAGAGATGCAGCATGTTGTTGACATCAACTGCTACAAAATACTCTGTCAGATTTCTCTGGGAAGAGAGAAAATAATTTTTGATTCATGATATTACAAAACCAAGTATCCTTAACAAAAAAAAAACAACCACACAAAACAGATTTCAACCTCCTATTACACTACATCCAGTACGTGGGCTGAACAAAAGAAAGCAGTATGTCATCTTCTGTCAGAATACTTCTAAATTGCAGTATCTTTCCCCTAACTTTTGGGGAGCTAGGTCTTGGAATAATAAAATTGATGATATTTCACACAGAGCTTCTTAAATACAAGATACTTCTCTGAGAAATGATATGTTCTGTCACTTTTATGGAAACTTCAAAGCTGCCTGATAAAGTGCCAAAAAAAAAAAATTTAAAAAAAAAATCTCATAACCCAACAATAAAACCAGCTCTCTTAGAGGACAATTCTAATATGACAAACTCAAATGTGAGTTCAGTCTATGCCAGAAAAATTCTGATAATTGGGAATACACATGGGCATTTAACACACGAGGTAAAAACAGTTACACGGGTTGTCTGAACTCCTCACGTCACGCACTTGGACACGTTTCCCCTCGGTGGAAGACAGAAAGCACTTGCTGGGTGGCTGGGGAAACAGAGGAAGGAAACAGAGAATTCTCCTCCTGAAAATTTCAGTGGATGCCCATCTCTAAGGAAGAATAAGGACTCAAGAGTCCAGTTTTATTTCCACGATCAGTATAAAGAAAATTAATCACTGTAGAATACTGTAAGCAAAGCACATTTGCAATCTGCCTTTAAAGTACAGCCAGGAAGACCAAGACACAAGCAACACCACTGAAACTTTACACATACACTTCCTAGGCAACACAGGGTTCTTCCATGCTTTTGCTGTGCAGAATATTAAAAAGTACCTATGTAAAAGTTATTGTAAAGAACTGAAATTCAAAGAAGAAAACAGAGCAAGCTGCAGAAGAAACTACGGTTAAGTCATCCCCTACATCATCCCAACAGCCAGCAACTTTCTCCACTCATCACTACCAAGGCAATCACCCTGTGCTGCAGTGCTGCAGTGGGGTGAATCTGGTATCACTGACTAAATATTTAAGATGTCTTCTAATAAACAGCTTAATGCGATCCCGAGATCTTTACTGGCAAAATTAAAAAGCCACCATGTAGGTAACTTGATCAAAACGTATTATGTTCTAGAATCAGGGGCTTTTGCAGTGGAAGGCAAACAAAAAAGGATTTTTGTATATAAAGGATATTTGTGCTTCTTAAAACATAGAAAAAAAAAAAAAAAAAAAAAAAAAAAAAAAAAAGGGTGTAGAAGAAAAGGTAATACACCCAAAAATGCTGAATTAGGGAATTTGTTTCCAAATAGCTTCTTACAGATATGAAAGGGTTGCTATATGATAAAGACAGTCTTATACAAAAAGCACATGCGAGAGCAAAATTAGATTAGTCATGAATTCAAGTGCAATCTTAATCATCGTTAAATAAAAAAGTGCAGAAAAGCAAAAAGCAAATATGATTTAGAAACTTAAAGAAGCTCAACAAAGCCTATTAGCACTTTTGACAGATCCAAAGATAACTCTAAAACCACCAATACTTGGCCTGAGAAGTCTGCCAAGATGCTTCATACTGTGCAAAAATATGTTCCACAGCTTGCCATCCAAACACAAAGAACTAAAGAAAAATTAAGCATTGTATTTGGAAGACTTTTGTACCAGTATGTAGATAGATAAAAACTGAGCTCATTATGGTTAGCTTCAAATGTGTTAATATAAAACAATCATTCAGGTCTTTGTTACAGAAAAGCTATAGCCGCAGACAGGTATATTCAAAGAAGAAGAAGAAAAAAAAAAAAGCCAACACATTTTGCCAAAAACCTATTAAACTATCATGTACTTTTTCTGTATTTCTCATCCCATCTGTGCTGATTAGCATGATATTTTTGTCTAAACATAAGCTGTCTTCTCTACGGCTCTTCTTCCCCCTCTCACCCATCTTTCAACGACGCCAAAACACAGTGCATGACGACACAATTACTGCAAATAGTGTGAATTAAGAATTTTTAAGTAGCACCGAACTCCCTTTGGTGCCACCCAAATTAGGGGCATGGCAAAAGGAGCACACGATCCCCACTTGCTGCCTGAGGAGGTGGATCCGCCTGTGCGTGGATGTGTTTATAAGGCAACAGTATCCACTAGCGAGAGGAAAAGAGACACTTTGCAATTATTCTTTCATCGAGTTTATTGTAGCAAAATACTGGCTTTGACCCACAAATGGTACCTTCAGGTGGAAAGATTTCTAAGGTTTTAGTCTTCTCTGCTCTCAGGAATTTGCCAGTGACACCTGCGAAGCATGTGGGCTGTATGGTAATGTATTGATACTAAGGAAATTCACGTGTTAGCTCTAAGTTTTATTTATAAGAAAGCTGTCATCTTTGAAGATGAAATTGGGACTTACACATGTATTTTGAAAGACATGTCTCGTAAGTGACAAAACCATGAATGAGTTAAATAAATACAAATGAAAGCATTCCAATTTGCAGTATAATTGTTGTATATTTTATTTCCTAGGATTTAAACCTTTCTTGGGGGGAGTAAAAAGTGGGATTTTCAAAATAAAGTACGGAACAGGTATCCCCATTCCTCTCGGAACTCACTAGGAGCGCTACAAAATTCCCTTACTCTCTTTTGAAAGTTCATGCGTAGACAATCATCTATTTGATCATTTGCTATCGAATATCAGCAAATGCACACGCACATTGACTTCTGAGCAAAAAAAAATAAATATTCATGTACTTCTCTTCCCCCACCATCTAATGAAGAATTTCTCACTGAAGGAACAAACCAATGAGCTCGCTCCTCTGCAAAGAGTGAAGCTCAAACATAGTAACAGGGATTAGAATCCACTTGTTTGAGTCTGCTCTTGAACAGCTTCATTTAAAGGCTTCAGGAAATGGTTCCTATTCGAACGGGTCAGCAGAACGGAGTCAGTTTTCCTTCTCCATTCTCCTACTGGAAATCCCTCATCTTATTTAGAAGTCTCTTTTCTTTGAAATATCACACATTCTAAATCTAACACGGGTTAGGTAACCTGGTGTGCAGCTAAGGCTCTTCTATAATGCCATGCTGTTGTTTAGGAGAACAAAATAATGAAGACAAAAACACTTTTATGGTGTAAATAGAGAAATAAAGGGGGGGAGGGGTGTGTTAAGAAAAACAGGTAGCAAAAGGCATAATGATATAATGAGTGAAAAATCAGGCATTTTGAAATATAGGACTCGGTGATACAAAAATACACCAGAAAATCATCGCCAAGAAAATGTCATCGTTTCAGCCTGCTAACTTACCTGGTATTTCTGAAACACAACAGATACTATTAGGAAATTCACAGTCTTGCACTGTACTGCCTGCAGTGAACCCAATTTATTTCTGAAGTCATAATACATTTACAAATCTTTCCTGTAACTTAAAACCTTTTGAAAAAGTGAATGCTTAGCTGTTACATAAAAGCATCCACGCTAAATGTTTTTGTGACTCATTAAACATATTGATCTGACAAAGTCAGATAATTCCAAGAAGTCTGTTAACATTCCATATAGAGTTCTGTGCAGGTCTCCATTAATCACTGCATATAACTTCAAAGTTTGGCATTACTAAAACTTGTGCTAATAAGGCTTTAAAAGTGTAATTGCTGATAAGATACACAGAATTTTTAATAAATCAGGCCAACGGATTTAAATCCACGAAGATTTATGCTCATTTAATGTGCCTGTATTATTTCCTAATATGCGTCAATTTTACATTAAAGTTGCATTGACAAAACCCTAAGAAATTACACAATACTCTTTAAATAAACCAAACAAAATGCCTGAGAAATAGAAGACGGTCAACTGCAACAACAGTTAGACCAATAGATTTGATTCTTAGTATTTCTCTTTCTCACGATGAGCCCTAGCTTTTGTAATTTGGGTGTATATATACATACGTAAGTACATGACTAAGGCATACATATTTGTAAACAGACTGAAGTGTTCTTCCGCTCCCGGAGGTGCCCTGGCTCACCCCAGACATGCAGAGTCCATCCTTCACCGTGACATCACCGCACAGGATACCCACATCGGAACACTCTCATTCCCGCTGAGGCACATCAGCACCACTCAGGGATTCAAAGAGGATGCTTTTTAGCATCACATGACACTCCCTCCCACGAAGGCTGAGCGTTCAGCTTTCAAAGGGTTTCCAACTCCTTCTGGCCCAAGGCCTCTGCTTTTATAACAGCCTTTGATTCCTGAGCATTCATCATGTCTCCTGCTCAAATGTTTTGGGAAGCTGACTCATACCTTTGAATACAAAGCGAACATCACCAGCAGACGTAACCAACAGAGCATAAATACAGCTATACTTCCTGAAGCCTTTACTACATACCGTGTTATTAAGCTGTTCCATATCAGTTAAAGCAGGCCCAAGGCAGATCATCTACTTTTCATCCCTGCCACTGGTTTCTTACCATTACTAGCTCATTTCTCTCTGCCCTTCAATTCGCCAGCCTGCAAAAGTGGAAATAAACTTCCCTTCCTTGATCTCCAGGTGATTTGAGGCTTATCAAACAAAAACTGTTAAAAGTTTGAAATGATTAGCATACAAGATATGAACATAAAATATAAACTCTATAAACAAGGAACTTCATGTCTCAGGACAGAATTGGATAGCTGGTTTAGATTCAGGAACTGACTCTTGGATTACCCCTAATGTATCGTATTTCTACAAAAATAAAGCACCTTAGAAAAAAAGGGCATATCTATTAAATTTACTGACAGGATACGTGTCAGTAGGAAAGGTCTACAACACAGAAAAGCTAGCAGCAATGTTTTAAAACAGAAACAAAAAGCCCCAAATGTTATCTGCTCTACAAATCATCCACAAATGAGATTAAATGTCTGGATGATTCCCTTTTCTTTCTTTCATGCCATAAATTGAGGTATATGGTGCTAAGGCAGACCGCAAAATGTTAGAGAAAGAAAAATGAGATGTCAGGCATAGAAATTTGGCTAAGAGACATAGTAGGAGCATATTAAAGAGTATTTAAGAGAGGCAAATGCCAGCATTGTCTTCCCACAGACCTATCATCTGGCTCGAAATCCGAGCATGCTGAAACACATACAAGACAACTTCGTGAGGCTTAAAAAGTCTCCAGAAAAGTGGCCCTAAAGAAACCAGGTGTGCTTGACATTTTCAGAAAGCCATCTAACAAAGGGATCATTTTTATGGGTCTCACATCATTCTTCCAGGAGGGTCTCACTGTATGATTAGCAGATCTGCTTTTTTCTACCTATATCAATCTGTCCATTACTACTTTATCCTTAATACGTTTAAGCTTTTAATCACAGAGATTGCCAGCTCTTGAATGCTACTGTGTAAATATGATACAGAAGGAAGACGTTATCGTAAAGAGAAGAATGACTCTCTGGGTGACTACAGCTTAAATACACCTTTAAAGCAAAGGCCCTAGATTTCATCTGAACCTGTACAAAACATTTAAGGAAGGACATACCATAGCCAAATTCTGACAGCATCTTAAAGAACAAGGCAAGTTAATACCAAAGTGGTACTTGATCTTTCTTAACTACTAGCAATATGGGTGTCTGAAACATCACTCTCCCACTGCAGATAAGTATCAAGTTTATATCCTTGCCTTGACTCATAAGTAGCCATAATGCTTTAATAAATAAAACCAATACCTCCTATTGAAACATTTTTTTCAAACAAATTTATTTCAAAACAGTATGCTATCTCTCCAGCAGGTCCCAACAGCTACTTCCCGAGTTTAGTTTTTAGGTTCAGTTTCACGGCGAACTCGGGATCTCACACATCAAGAAAACCAACAGAACTATGTAAACAGCGTGAGGTCATCAAGGGGAGAACGAAATGTCTCTCTGGATGCACAAGAAAAGAATTGCTTCTTTAGTTGTGAAATTAATTTTCTTTTAAAACAGCAGGTTTTTGAAACCTATGAAAGCAAACCCTGACTCAAGTTAGCTGTAAAGTTGAAATACCTCAGCTGACTCTTGTCTGCTTTTTGCTATAAAGTCTTGGTAACGCGGATGCAATTCCCTTCTACTGCAATCCTGCATTCTTATGTACAAGATGACTCCTGTAGTACTCACTCAAATGGCAATCACAAAACTGCCTTGAGATTACTTTCAAGAATTTTTCATAGGTTTATTTTAATTTGCCTGAAAATTCACGCACTAACACCATCATTGTTCTCTGAAACGCCACCGTACTGTTACATAACCACAAAATCACCATTCCTTCCCAATTTTGAGTAAGCTAAAACTAGAAATGTGTATTTTAAATTTCCTCACTTAGTAGAACTAAGATATCATGGAATGTTAACAGTAAGTAATAACAGAGTGGTGATAATAGTAAAACCTTTATATTTTTAAAATAAATACTTTGACTTACAGGTTAAGATAATTATGCTGTTAATTTCCCATTCATATGGTACCTTTTCTTAATTAAAACGACAAACATTAAATTCTACTATTACATTGTACTTCCAAAGGCCTGTTACTCATGCACGTCTGCAATTAGCAACACAGTGTTTTGTGCCTAATACTTATGATAAATTAATCATTTCATTTCAACATCTAGCAATATTTTACAGAATATGATCTATTGCTAGGGCAAACAGAGGTAATAATTGTTATACATTTTGCTGCTGACTTTAAACAGAAGCAGCAAAGCACACAGTTGTCTACAGTACTCACGTTTTCAGGTATACTGGGGAGTTCTCTGATGTCAGGCACAGTAAAGTAAGAGTGCTAAAAAAAGGGAAAATATTGATTATTGCAATATTGTCAAAAGCAATCTAAATTTATTGCTTTGTATTAGTAACAGCAGTAATAGCAGTTGCTCAGCTAAGTAAAAATGACAGAACATTTGTTACCAACTACCAGTGTGACTCCTTTGTCATGAATTTCAAAAGCTGGATTCTCGGATCACACTTGCAATATGAAATGCATTAAGATAGAAAGTATCAAATGCTCCTGAAAAGTCATATTACTTTTTTTTGTTCTTCAGAGACGCTGATACAGACAGACACACACAATGTCTGACATATGCCAAGGAAACTCCAAGGCAGGCTATAATTCAAGCCATCTTTCCAGAGCCCACTGCAGGTTGCATGACAGACTACAGGAAACAACAGCAAGCAGGTCCTTTGCTGACTTACAGCATCAGTAAGTTTCATTCAAGACTATGGTGAAGTTGTGGAAATTTAGTGAGAAATGCTTCCTAAAAGTCTTATGTCTGCTTATCCAAAAAATATTGATGAAGTTCGAGGTCACTTTTATATGCCTTAAAAAAAAAAAAAAAAGAACCAACAAACACAAAAACCCCGTGACATTTTGAAAGACTGTACTGGTCTCACTCTTTCATAATCCATTCTATTGTTACATTTTTTAATTGTCTGCATTCCAAGAGACCAGGTTCACTCTAGTTCCCAATCCGACCATGCATGACTTGCAGGATTCTTGGTCAGGGCTTTGGGAAAGGAAAGGAGAGAATGTGACTAACCTGCTTTTGTCAAACAGTGTCGTGTACAATTTATATTACTTTTAAAAAAAAAACACCCAGATTTTCACAATGCTTCTTAGGGCTACTTATTAATTACTTGAAGCTTTAAAGGCTGTTATATTCTTGGCATAGTTCCCCAATTGGCACAATTTTCCTGTATATATATCTCAGACATTTCAGTGCTTCATGAACAGTCTATAACCCGAAATAGCAAGCGGGTATAACAGCTACACTGAATATAGACACTAAATGTATAAACACCAATTTTTGCTTTTTGATAGATCACTGTTTTAGTTTGGTTGAAAAGATGCAATGCAAAGATACAGGAATAGTATATGCAACTATATCACATATAGGAACCTCACCCCGACCCCAAAATAGGCTTGTAAACAGCCAAAATAAAATGTGTAAAGACACCACGGCTAAGTCCCTTGGCTGCTTTTTTATATCCTTTCTTGCTTCATCGCCCATGAAATGTCTGAGACAAGGGGAGACCAGCAGCATTCCTTGAAACCACTGGTATGAAAAAAATGAAATATCCCAACTGATCGTTGCCTTTTGAGACAGCTCGTCCCCTTAAACAGAAATGCTGTTCATAAAAGCCAGCCTCAGGAGGACTGGGACATTTCTGCTGCCAGCTGGTGACCTAGCAAGGCCAAACAACTGTTACCTGTCGACTGACATTACAGGGTGAAGTGATGAGAGTAAGCTGCTTGTTGCCAAAAAGTACTTTAGGAGTAAAGGAAATGAGAGGGAGAAGAGAATTGTGGCTGCACACACCACTAGTTTCCATGTGAACTCTAAATGACTAATTGGCAACTGCAGCAATGTGCATCTTAAGTATCTTTTCACTACAGCTTCTGCAAAAATTTATTTGAAGAGAAAACCCCCCCAAAAAAATCAAAATACAATCCCATCAATAAAATCCCACATCTATTCTTTCAGTGCTTTTTGATTTATTTTCTTACAGGATATAAAAATGAAATAAATCCTTTTTTGTGCAAGTTTTTTTTTCCTTGGTGGGAGGAAGAAGAGAAGGAATCAGAAAATGGGATAAACACTTAGTACTCAAAAGGCTGCTGTGACAGGTACGTGACTGTTTGCTTTCCAGTCCTGAACCCCTTCACATACTTGCAAGATCTTGGAGTTCTGCAGAAGTGTGGGCAATAAATGTCATGTTGCTGCTCTGTGACCTCTCGCAGGTCACAGACGATATGGTGAGAAATTTCCATGGGGAATACACACAGTCTTCCTCCAATCAAAGAACAGCATTTCAAAGACATCTGAGGTTAAGGAAAGGGAAACAGAGGGCCCCAAATGTGAAAAGGGGAATTTCACAGCTCTGTGTCCTCACAGGAAAACAACATCTGTGTACCAAGTTCCAAAAAGGAGAATTGCTTTTGACATTCCTCTATTATGATATGTAATGAAAATTAAACACCTTAGTTTAAATCTCTCCCACTTCACTTACCACTCCAAGATGAACAGAAGTTCCTGGCTCAGGGATGGTAAGTTTATGAAATGTTTCTAAGAGCTCACTCCTTTGACTATCCTGAAATAAGAAGGAGGAAAAAAAAAACCACAAAAAACCACACACCAAAAAAAGGAATACTAAGTAGGCATTGCTATAACAAGCTAAACTCCAAGTTGGAAGGGCAATGTTTGTGGAATTGGGGGCTTAGAGAACTTGCAAGTGTAAAGAAGAATGTGAAAACAGATTTATACATTAGACTGTGAACAGAAATAAATGTAGTTTCCTCTGACAGCTGGGTTTTATAACATGACTTTTTTAGAATACTTTTTTTCATATGTATTTCTACGTATTTCTGCAACCTACTGAGTCACCAACCTATGCACTAGTCACTCAGCTCAGAGCAAGCCAGTTTTCACTGCAAGTTCTTTCTAACAACTCCCTAGCTGAGGGTAAAGCCAAATGCATTTAATCCATTTAGATGAAGATGTGATCCCAAGCACTTCTACCTCTAACTCAAATGATTCTGACAAATGTAAAACATATTTATTACCACCAAACGGTAACAAATCAAAGCAGCAACTTAACTGGGAAGATTTTACTTGTGATATTTCAAATACATGAAACTAGGCAATCATATAATGTAATTTCTCTGTATCATTAATTATCATTTATAAAACCTAGAAGCAAATTTTAATGGCTTAGTTCACTTTTTTTTTTCACGGTCTCAAGACTGAATGTTGCTTTGATTTGCTTTAAAATCAAAACATCATCTGAAAGGCTTAGGCTAGATGATGCCATGTGGGTAAGAGTTTTGCATCAGGAAGAAGTTTATATGATAAACGAACTTGGATAAGACATCTGTCCGACTCCTGCAACGCTGCCATGCGGGAAGCGCTCGGATGAGCTGAGCACCGTGAGTCTGCGCAGCACGGGCGACTGACCGCAGGGAAACCACCAACCTCTTGGATCCACAGCTGCACTCTTGGACTTTACCTCTCCCCAAAAAGAATTTAAAGGCCTATTTCTTTTTCAGAGGCACTTGTCAAGCTTTTAGCTTGGCTGAACATGAGCTTCTATTTTACTGCATCATACAGATTAATAATTCCCATGGTCATCTCTGACATGACCACTTCTTAAAACAGCTTGTTTCCATCCTCTCTTTCATTTGATATTGGGGCAGGGAAAAGAAGGGTTAGTGCTTTAGAATAATACCTGTCCTTTTGCTGAATAATCTGCCAAGACATTGAGCAGCTTATAAAAGACTTCAAACCATGGGAGGTAACTGGAAAAAAAGAAAGAAAAGCATACATTTAACTTGCTAAATCTCAGTGTATCTTCACCATACAGACGCACCCTAACAGCAGGCTCCGTCCAGCAGACGTGGCACTGTATCTGTAAGGAGAATGCTGCCAGAAGGTTGAAGCATCCCTTTCCTCCGAGGGCCGTGCTCAGGGTTTGCCCTTCCCCAGCGCTTCCAGGCACCTGTGGGCGTGGGGCAGCCCGGGCGGCACCAGCCGTGCGCAGCCTGGGGTACCGAGTCCCCTCTCACCCCGCACACAACACACACACAGCCCAGTGGCAGTTCTTAACCAAGAGAAACGGACCCCAGTGTTCACGGATGGGGGAACATTTGCCACCGTAGCTACTTCCCAGAGTATGTGCTGAATAACCCGTCCTCCGTACAGCTGCGAGCCCTCGGCAGCTGCAGACAGACAGGCATTCTGGGTCTCAGTCGGGATACAACCGGAATGTCTTAACTGCATAATCAGTACCTCCGTTTTTAATTGTTGTCAAATCTTATACCACCCTTGCAGTTAGCCCAGCCTTTAGTTAGGTCAAACTTTACTTTCAGTAAATTTGCACAATAAAAGAAACAAAGAGACAAAAGACAAACAAGCACAAAAATCACATCTTTTCCATTTACATCACATTTCCGTTCCATAAAATAAGACAGACAGCTAAGACGTTACTTTTCACTACAGTACGCTTTGGTACGATTTTCTGCCCTATTTTCATGGCACAGTTCTTTACTTCAATTCCTTTTTAAATACCGGCAAGGAATTTCCCCTCAGCTGCAGCGAATGGGAAGGCAAGTTTGCGTGACGCACAAACTGATTCTTCTTTTAATCACAGATGCCTTCTGAAGCAAATGGATTCTATTTTGATATCGTTAGACAGAATTTAAAGATTTTTATAAAATACGACTCCATCCTGACAACTATAAGGAATGGAGTGCCCCATGGTTCCTAACTGTAAGCTTTTAGTAATAAATGAAGTGAGAAGCTATATATGAGACAGATAAAGTGAATGGCACTCCATCATTAACGTTTGTTTGAAGCCTGCAAATGCTACTGTAAAATGTAAGTAGCTTATCAAAATATACTGATAAGCAACTTAACTTTTCATGTTATATGACAGTATTATCATTTAAATTAATATGCTCTAAGCATCTTTACAAACTATGTACTAGAATAGAGGAGAAAGACAGACAATTACCACTTTAAACAGCATTTAAGTTTGGCATTATATTGTAAACAATCAAGAAGGATTAGTTAGAAGATAAGTTTCTTTCTTTCTGTTTAGTTAAATAAACTTCAGCAGAGTTAAAAGCCATTACAAGAGTAACAAGAAATCCTCTCAAAACATATCGGCTAAGTAGAGATTAAGAACCTGGTAAACAAATCCTTGCAAGGCATCTATCAAAAGAGTCTGAAAAGGCAGAAAACCAAGGCGGCGGAAAGCTCCCCGGGAGTATGGAACCAAAACTTATTTCAGGAAGGCGGATTTAAAGTTCTACTTAATTGTTCAGGGACCTTGCTGGAAAACTACATTTACAGACTTAAAATGAGAATCTTTTAAAATATTATTGTGGTTATAACGTACATGGCAGCAGAGAAGCAATAAACCAGAGCAAGTTACCTCAGCTTCTAGTTTGCCGGAGCCGCACTTGGAGCCCCAACGCTGCGGCACCGCTTGCAACCAGCGGCTCAGGGACCCCGCAGGGACAGGCTCCGCTCGGAACCAGAGCCAGGCTGGGTCCGTTCGTCAAAGATTTACTGACCTGGCCTGCCAGGGGCCTGTTTGCTCACAGCTAAACCTTACCTCACTACAGGAGTTTTCTGTACTCCCACAACACACCAAACATAACTAATTTGTCGGTTCTATCCACGAGAATACTCCATCCAAATCCCATTTTAATTCTTTTGCTTAGCACCCAGAAAATAGATTCTATGATTCTAACAGAAATAACCCAGATAAAGTCTCATTTACACAATGTCAAAACATCAGTGATCAAGCATATTCCCATTATGTTTGCTCACTCCTTGGCCTTCCCTTTTCACTAGCATCTTATAATAAACTTCATTGTTGTCCTTTAACTCTTCCTTATTTTAATCCACGTTTTCCAAATAATGGTTTAGCATCTCTTTTTTTTTTTTTTTTTTTTTTTCTCATTTTTTAAGAGTAACTTTCCATTCTGAGGGAGAAGCTTCACAATTTTGAAGTTGAGGAAATTGGCTGATACTTGAAGCAGACCTCAACACAATACAATACACCAGGATCTGGGTAGCTTTTGCTCAAGAGAGGTGCACGACAAGATAAAACAAACCAACCCACCATAAAATTGCATTAATTATGTAGACAATCTCACTGCAATTTTCATCTCCCTCCTTTGTCACTGCAGAGTTCAGGATCTCTCTCATCCTGAAAAGTTTTGGAGATGTTAGAAAACTCCTTCAGCCTGCCATCTTCAGTACTTCATCACTAATTCCGTGTGTTTACTACTCAGGAGTGAAACGGGTTTGCTTTTATTGGACTAAATTGTGACTGATTAAAGTTGGAAAAAAAAAAAAATCAAGAAAAAGAGTTACACGAATTTGTTTCTAGATCTCTGCCAAAAGGAAAAAAGACATTAATTTTTTCTAACAAAAAGCAAATCCTTGAGGCAGCCTTTAAACACCCCCTTCCAAAGAAACGGAGGTTGAATTTATAACCAAAAACTTTCTGTACCACATGCAACTTAAGTAGCACAACTGGTAGCACTACTGAAGATTTATGGCTTATGACTTGCTCATATTTAATTTGTAACCAAACACTTCCCCTTCCTCTTAGCTACCTTAGAACTTTTGATTAACTCTTGTTTTCACAGGTCATAGGTTAAACAAAGGAAGGGAAGCGCTCTGGAGTGAAATTGCCCAGAGCCCCGCAGCCTGGGAGCGCGCAGCCCCGAGCACATCCCCCTTCGGGGAACATCAAACCCGCGATAGGCCAGAGATTCTTCAAGGGACTTGAAGTTCAAAGACTCCAATAAGCATAAATCAGATTGGGGTGGAACAGTAAACAAAAATAAAAGGGTAATCTGAAATTTTCAATCTTTTTTAATTTTACCCCCGTTTTCAGTTTCCTCACACGTATATACGCACACTCACAGTGACATATTTGCCCCCAATCATGAGAATCAAATCAAAGCCTAACGAAATTAGGCTGCTTCAAGCTGAGAGATGGGCTCAGCACTCTGCTTTTCTCTCCCTCGCAACCTTCGGAGCGCGATGCAGCCTCGGTGCTGGAGACAGGCCAGTCTGACGGGAAACAAGTATGAGCACAGGAAAACTGCTTATTATGCTCCATCAGGTCTGCACAAACTCCACTGCACAAGTCGCACAGTACCTTATTCAGTAACTCATATGTCATCACCTTTTTAGTGCGCTCCTTGAAAGTACAAAACATCATTAGTTACATGTGTCACAGCAATTAGGGTCAGTCAAAACCTTAAGACAACAGTGCTGCATTGCAGCTTGTAAATACAAATGTTTCCAAAATGTAGTGTTCAAAGAACAGCGGTGCAACACCAACAACTGACAGGCCAGGCTGAGACAACAGGAAAGGTATATTAAAAAAAAACCAAATTAGCATGATAACAAACCCCGGCAATCCCTGTGGGTGCTGCTTGCAGTTATGAAGAGGTTCACCCTCACTAGAGCCGACTCCCAGGGAGCTCCCAGTACATCCCCCCTCCCCGGTACTGGGCTGGGGGAGGCGGGGGGCAGCGGAGGGTGCGACTCGGCAGCCAGCGCCGCTCCCGCACCTCCAATCTGAACTTCAAAAGCTACACTGAGCAGAAAATGTCAGCACCCAATATTAGCTGCTGCACAGATGAAAATGCTGTAACTGCAGTCAATTTAGCTCCGAATTTTTCAACATATTAATCCGCTCGCGCGCTTTAGCGTATGAAAGGAAAAACTACTCTACCACAGCAGCACACGTAGGGTCACAGTTTCTGACCTCAGAAAGGACTGCAACCAAAATGGGAGAGTATTAAGCTAGCAGTTCTGAAATACAGCAGCTGCGGTTCTACACACGTACACATACGCCCACAGCCCTGCAGGTTCACCCCCATACACGCACGTACGGCCGCTGCCCAGCAGGAAGGATGCAGCAAGATACGACCCGCAGGGCTTCCTTTAGTGATACTAGGATGCCAACGGCAACGAAATTAGTCAGAAAAGTGGATTTCCAGGCTCCTGCTACTCTCATTACACACTTAACACAAAAGCTTTTACAGACAAACCAAAACAATTGGCATTGTTCACAACCAACTTGGGGGTTTTTAAATAATTAAAAAGAAACACCAACTCCCCTCCAGTTGGTTCGTACTAGAAAACATTAATTGAAACGAATGCTTTAATTTAGCCAGGTCAAATAGTACTTACAGATGTAAAGCAGAAAGGCCACAGTAGCACACCAAAAAGCGACACCTCATGTTGATCTATTGCTAGTCCAGGCCCTCTCCTAGCCTGGGGCCATTTTGGAAACAAGTTTTTCAGTATCTACAGCCACAACTGTAAATGAGCCCATGGCAAAACCTATACAAGAAGGCACTGCAGGTTTCACTGCACTGCTCCTGTAGCCAATCTCCCAGGCAATTATCCAGTTGGGGATTTTAAACGAAGGTAAACTCTCCCCTTCAAAACCACCTTAGCTTACCTGGACATTTAAGGACGATGCTTCCTAACTTCATTAGAGTGCCTTGGCTACAGTCTGCGTAAAGTGAAGGGCTCGTTGATAAGTTACAGAACTTCTAAGTTGCACAAACATAGGAGAGCTACCAGTTTAGCTTCATCAGAACATAAAGATTACCTTCCAGCAAATACAAAATCCAGGAAAATATATACAAAGCCAAGCCAAGAGCTGTTACAGGATTGCCTCTATGTAAAGACAGTCAACTAATTTAGTCACATGGAATTATCCAACAGTAAATAAGAAAATGCAGAAAATGCAACATTG